CTCTAGAAGGACTTTATGCTATTGGAATGGTTTGAGAAGGGAAGGACTAAGTATTTGGAGCAATTTGACTACTTAAATAACCATTTAATTATTCATTGAATGTTTGACCAATTAATGAGTTAATAATTATTAAGTTGGCATATTGAAAGGTTTGATTAGATGTCTTTGGGGGAGTTTTATGCTACGAAATTACAGTTTAAATGCATGGGTACATATAAATGGGGGGTTTGACCAAGTAATAATTAATTGACTTACTTAAACTCATTATGATTTGACTAACCAATGATTGCAACATGTTTGAGATATTAGGGTTAAAAAACTTACATCCTATGAGTTGAAGCAAATAGGAGGAGTGTGATGTCAGAGAGGAATAATGACTTCATTATAGTGACTCATTGAGTCTAGTTCGCAAACTAAAGAGCGATGCCGAGCAACCAAGACGAAGCGGTCGGAATGCCACCTATTCACACAAACAAAGAGCAGTGAGTGAGATAGGAATATGAATGTTAGGTTTTACTCACCGTCGGAGAGAAGGGGGGCACATGCAAAAATCCATGTGGGGGGCCCCCCCCCCCCCCCCCCCCCCCCAAAAAAAAAAAATGGGGAATCTATAGATAAAATTGAGTTGGAAACTTCAGAAATTAAATCAGAGGCCATCTGAACTCTGATTTCATCAAATATATGCTCGAACTGAACGTCTCAAAAATACAAACCCAACGCACCAAATTCGGATCAATCCGAACCCAAATGACTCCAAATCAAAGACTTGAAGCATATTTGGAAGGTTTAAACCATAATTTGGATTATCAAATGGTTTCCAAACCTAATATGCTTATAATCGAATTGAGCTGCTAGATGAGACGAATCCAACGAGCCCACAATTGCTGAATTCTGATTTCACTAAGACATTTAATTTTCTATTCATTTACTTTTTTTTTGTTGGTTGATATTTGCTTAATCTTGTATTGATTCGATCTTAAAGAGATTTTATGATTTTTTTTTATGAAATAAGCTTTTTAATATCACATATTTAGTTAATATATTGAATCCATTCTAGCAAAAATCAAACGATTTGATGATTGGAAGTCATTTTAAGAAGGAAAAAAATAAACTAATTCACTATCAAAGTTTTATCATTTTTAAAGCATATTATATCGGTCCCAAGTCCGGATGTAAAAAGTTGAAGGAAATTTAAAAAAAAAATTAATTTAAGCCTCCCCTAAAAACAATTTCTAGCTCTGCCACCGGTTTTACTTCTTAATTTTTTTTCTCAAATATCATGTGATCTCATTCCTATGGTTGAGATTGTGTTTCAACTGAATCGACTATTTTTTTTTAAAATCGGTGCTGGTTCATCGGTTTCACAGTCTAACCGCCAGGCTAATCGACTATTGTTTACGACCAGTCGTACATCTTCCTTTTGCGACCAGTCGTTCACCTATATGAAGAACTTTTAATTGATTTGTATCAGCAATTAAAGAATGAACGTGTCTATGGTCGCAAAAGGAAGATGTTTTTGGATATCAAAGACTGGCAAGATTTACAGTTTGAGTTACTGACAGAATTTGGATGTTGTCCTACACAAACGCAACTCCAACAACATGTTTGCTGTTTAGTTAAGAAGTAAAACAACTAAAATGTACTGACATATTTACCAATTAAGAACGTTCTATCTATTTACATTTTATAACTGTATCAAGACTATCGTTTCAACGTGGAACATAACAACATAAATGCAAGTTCAGCTCTAAATTAGGCATTTCAGCTTGCAAGTTCATTAGTAAATCCCATTTAACAGAGTTAGGTTGAATAACATTTTCCATATATTTGCAAACGAACATCCCACAGTCATAACCGTTGGTTTGTGTTGGAACTCCCTCGGCTTCCAGAACTTTCCATGATCTGATATCAGTTTGAAAGCAGCCCTGAGTTTCCTCCTGTAAGTGATTAATCTGTAATCATAGTTAAGTAAAATTAACGTTAATTTCATAATACGAATGTGTACAGCACAAATAAAAAGTAAAGCACCCGACTAACCACTAGTGGAAGCACAGCCCGATGCATGGGGTTAGGTAACGAATCAAAAAAATACCAAGTTGCCTTCTTCAAATAAGCAACCAGAAGAGTCCAATGTTCATTATCATTTACTGGTAGTAGCAGAAAGTTAGAAGCGGTAACGGCATCTTTGTTAATGTGCGACACGTACTGCTTACTTTCCATATCATATTTCTTGGATGCCTGTATGTGTATTCGGGTTAGGAGAACTTTTAAACATATTCAGTTATAGCAAGAAAAATAACACCATTACCCAATGCAGACTCGAAACATAATTAAATAGTTGATAAAGGCCAGGACGAAGTTTATTTTTCTCAGCCAGCAAACTAGCGAAGGCGTCGATGTGGTTGTCGT